TCTGTACAGTGCGGTGCGGGTGTCTTTTTTTTTCTTTTTTTCCTGCCTATGCTGATAGCCTTGAGAAGCTATTTCAGCTTCACCCTAACGTGTGTAGGTGAGCTCTCGGGGCTCAAACCGGAGGTGTTGCTAACATTGACCCTAGCAAGAACAGTGCTTCGCAGAATCTACCACCGGAAACGCGACCCACTGAGAAGATCCGACGAGAAACTCATTGGGCTGTCTCTATAGGTTAATTCGCTCGTCGAGCCCGCGGGTCTCTTACTTATTAGACAACGAACGTTTTTTTCTTGTATACGTATTTAAGTACTAGCTTGTTGTCTTTCTGTTGTCCCATTAAGTTACAAAACAGGTTATTTTAAAAAGAAGAAAAAGCTATTTTTTTAATGTCAATTAAAACGTAACCCTTAATTTTTTTCCCTACCTATTGGCTGATAGCCTAAGAGGCTATTTCAGCTTCCACTAGCCCTAGCAAGAGCAGTGCTTCGCAGAATCTACCACCGGATCGGAATCGCGACCCACTGAGAAGATCCGACGAGAAACTTTAATTATAACGTTAATTATGTCAGTAATAATCGATCAACACAAACAAAATTTAAATAGGTACATATTTTCGAATACGGTGCGACATATTTTAAAACGCCCGCCGCGTTTTTTTTGAACGCTCAATTTTTTGTGCGCCTTCGTTTAGGAAAATGTTTTGTGAGTGGTAATTGACTTCTCGTGCTGGATACAGGACACGTGGCCGGTGGATTGGGGCCGTGAAACGAGCGGGATTGGTTCGCTTACATTCATTTGAATGCAACAGCTAAAACCAAAATGAAAAAAAGTGAAAACATTATCTAAATTAACTGTAAAACAACGTCTTTATTTTGTTTTAAATTGATTACGTGCATAGCGGAGACATTTCACTGTCTCGCTTACTCTTATCATAATAGTCATGACAGTTAATTGATTGTTTTTTAAATCTAGCTACGGACCCATCTCATTACGACAGCCACTCTATTTTTTTTGGAACGAAGTTCCTTATGGGACGATGCGGAGGGGTACCATCACCGGGGAAAAACGTCCGTAACGTAAGATTTTTATTAGTAATGCACACAGTGTACGACTTAACTTTGTAATAACGTACAAATTAGTAATGCACACAATTTACGACTTAAGTTTGTAATAAGGTAGAAAAAATAACATTTTTTTATTCATTTTTATTTATTGACCACGATCTCAGAGCGTTCGTTTGGGCAATACACCAACTCTTATACAAACAACCGTGAATGAAGTGTACCACAATTTGTTCGCACGTTACCGAATGACCGTGGGTTGTTGCGAAACCTCCAGTGTTATTTTCTTTATACCTCGAATAGAACTTAAAATTAATATTTTTATAATAAGGAACTTGGTTGCTATCCGGTGTCCCACGACACCACACATCTTTTTTTCCTACCTAATCTGGTAGCCTAGAGGATTATGCTAGAGTAACCGAGCGAGTAGGTGAGCTTATGGGGCTCTAAGCCTGAGCACTTTGGTAACACTAGCCCTAACAAGAGCAGTGCTCCGAAGAATCCACCGGAACGGGAACGCGACCCACTCAGAAGATCTGGCGAGAAACTCACTGGGCGACACCCACTCAAAGACAACTTCAATATCAAAAGCACAGCGAGGTTACCGTACCTCTGTTCGTTCCAAAGCTAAATAGTATTTCATCCCTTACAAATGCTCTTTAATAAGGCACTGCACGCTTTGAGAGACGTTCCAAGTACAGTTACAAAAGCTTCTTAAAGCACCCTCCGGTACCTTAGATAGGACCCAAAACTCTCCGCAACCCCTAATTCTCCAATCCGCTTTAAGTATTTGGATCTCCAATGATATGAGTGGCTCGTCTCTACCCAGTGTCAAAAACAGAAAGATAAATCAGTATTACACCTGAGGTAGTAAAGTATTTGTTTCTTCAATTATTATTTTTAAATCTCATTAACAAATTTTACTATTCGTCACGACACACTTGTATCGCTTTCATTATATTGGCCTAAAAAAACCGGCCAAAATTGTTTAGTAAAAAAATCGCTCGCACTATGGCCATACCCAAGTATCATAAAAGCGATGACGGTTGAGTGGCAGAAAATTAATTTATAACTTTATTTTAGGGTCTTTAAATCGTAATGGACGTCGGAGGTTATAAAAAATACTGATGCGTTATTAATATACCTGAACGCTAAATTTAATTAAATAAATGTTTATTTATATTAATTAATTAAGTAAATTAGGGTTTTATAAAGTTAATTTGAATTATTCATTCTATAATGGCGTCGTGTGATACCAATAAAACCCGCAGCTCGCTGAGTCTGTCGCCGGACCTTCTCAGCGGTCGCGATTCCGAAAAAAAAAACAATAAAATCGACTATATAATATATGATAATATATAAAAAATTCTGTTAATTATTATTTGTTGATCATTATGATGTTGAAAGTGTGCGCGGGTTTGTAGCACTGACCTGATCTTTCTGTCGCGAAGCAAAAAATGGTTTCGCTTTTGATGCTAGGAAGAATTCACGGCGTATTTTGAGGTAGATGGTGGCATTCCAGTTGTTAAAAGCTTATGTACTTTATACCACCAAAGCATTCGTAAATAAATAAAAAAACATGAAAATCCTTTCTTCATAAATATTTAGTCTCACACATTACGATGTTGACACGATTATTGGTGATACAAAAAAAAATCGTGTGGTATAAAAGAAATGTCTCAGTCCATAATGGCATAGTTTTAATTAGTGACGCCATATGTGACGGCTCACGTCGCGGGGGACGGGACCGCCACCTTGGCGATAGTATAATTATCTCGGAACGTTAAACGATTGCGTGCCTGTTATAGACTGTAGCGATTTTTATCTTTTATTTATCTGTTTTTAATCTGAGAATTAAAATTTCGAAATTGGAGCATTGAACAGTATACAGTGCTTAGTACAAAATGTTCACACAATGTTTAACGGCCGTCTGGTGTAGTGGTAAGTGACATGGTCACTACACAAGGGGGTCGCGGATTCGAATCCCGCCAAGGGAAGATATTTGTATGATAAATATAAATGTTTTTTCCAGGGTTATGGATGTACATTAAATATTAAATATAAGTACATGTATAATAAAAATCTTACATTTATTTCCGTTATCTGGTACCTGTAACACAAGTTCTTTGCGAACTTAGCACGGGACCAGTTAACCTGGCATGATTGTTATTAAATATTTATTTATTAATTATTTATGTATTTCTTTCACACATTTGGCAATATTTCATTTGTCATCTTATAAAAAGAGAGGAATTTTTCTTTTTGGATAGCAACTGCTATTTCGATCTGCCGACCAGACTCTTTCTTTCTCTTGCCTACGTTTTTTCATCTATTTGATGAAGACGAATACAGCTGCTAGCATTGCAGTACTAATTGAATGCAGTAATTGGAAGCATTTGAAATTTTTCTACAAAAAAGTGGCGTGACACAACCCGCTTATCATGGCCGCCTCTAATTATATCCCCGATTTATAATACAAAGCCGCCGTCGCCCTGAGCGCGTGTAATCGAATCCTGCCGAGCCACTCTCAGTGCTTTCAGGAACCGGTCACCGTTCTCGTCGAATGCAACGAAAAGTGCGACGCGCAACCTAGTCCAAAGAAAGACACGAGACTCTGAGTTTCTCGCCGGATCTTCTCACTAAGTCCGGATTCCGATCCGGTGGTAGATTTAGTGATTCATTGCTTTTGCTAGGGCTAGTATTACCAAGGTTGAGCCCCGTGAGCTACCAAAGCCTACGAAGCCGTGCGTAATTGGAATAGCCCCTTAAACTGTCAAAGATTAGGTAGGGTTTCATGATAATTAAAGTGTAATACTACGATGTTTTGAATATTATACATAGTTGTCATCGTAATTAGCGAGTATTTTTCAAAACTACATTACATTACGCGTTGTTACAACACCCGATGTTCCGCACCGGGTATTGTACCAATATTATGCACATTTGGCAAAAATTTAATTGAGTTAATTAACACAAATATAACTTTTATTTGTAGGATTATTTGGGGATTGTCTTTTATCCCCTTAAAGAGCGTATCAATTCGATATTTAACGGCGGTCTCATGTGTACTGCACTACCATTAGGCAGTCAATATTTGATGTATCTATGCAAGTAAATGTTTTGTACCCGCTGCCGCTCGTGACTTGAGCGCGAGCAATAAATGAAAAATGGCTTTGGAAGGCACGTTACTGTGGATCGCTTAATTTGTCCCGCTGTTCGGGGAACAAGGGGGCGCTCAGACCGTAAAGTGATTTGTTCACTTCAAATAACTCACTATTAGAAGATATTTATTTATACGCGTTAAAAGCTAACGATTTGAATGTTTTCGATGTACATTTTAGATAAGAGGATCTTTAGAATTATAGTTTATTTATTAATAATAGCTATTAAAGATGCGGGTTATATGACTGCGACATCGTTCGGCATCTGTGAGTACTACTTTTCCATTCGTCCATAGTGGCAGTTTACTGACCGACATTGCTAATGAACTGCTTGGTTTGTATCACAACAGTCAATAGCCGGTTGTATCAACGTGTGCTGGCTGGTAGCTTGCCTTCCCGCCAGATAAAGAACACACATTACATTTTAATGTAAAATGCAACTGACCGCCCAAAACACATCATTACGGATCCTCCCGATCCATTAACGGTGCTTTTAGGTACCACAAGCACCGGTCACCGTCCTCGTCGAACCCGTCGCTCGCGACGAAGGGCTCGACGAGCGAATTAACCCATAAACACAGCCCACTGAATTTCTCGACGGATCTTATCAGTAGGTCGCGTTTCCGATCCGGTGGTAAATTCTGCAAAGCACTGCTCTTGCTAGGGTCAGTGTTAGTATCACTCCGGTTTGAGCCCCATGAGCTCACGTACTAGTTAAGGTTACGCTGAAATAGCCTCTCAAGGTTATCAGCTTCGGTAGGAAAAAAATGCAACTGACCTGGGTTTCGGTAACATTTAAAAGTTTCGCCATGTCAGCTCTCTCGCCTGAAGACAAATACTTCTTCACTTCAAACAGCTTCTCCAATTCGAAGATCTGTCGTCCGGTGAAGGTTGTGCGAGCTTTCTTCCGTCTCCCGACTTGATCTTCGCCCTCCTCGCTGGTGAGCGAGCCCTCACCTCCGAGGGGAGAACGCACATCATCAGTTGACTTCTTCCTTTTTATCAGCTTTGATGAATCTGTAAGCGATTTTATCTTAGTAGATCTTGAATTGATTAGTATGAATTATTCGCGATGACGTATCGGTCTATGTATTCTATTTTAACTTTGAATTTCTGTATTTCAATGAATGTGATTAGAAGGTTTGAGAGTTTTATATGTGCAAAGACGGCGCCCGGTTCTGTTAATAAATTTGTTTCACGTAAAACGTAAACTATACAAAACATCTCAATTCCGGAGAAAGAAAATAAACCCGAAACTGAATTGATTGCTCTGACGGCCTCGCGGCCTCCCTGCCCATCTCGACACATGAGGTATAAATCTAAATAGCCTAATTGGGCGACAAGAATAGCACTTAGTGCAACCGACCAAGTATCTTTGTCGTATTAAAAGAACTAGTGGACGTCCAATGGTCGAAATTCGATCATATTAATTATTAATTTAAATTATAAGTTTTAACATTATTATTGTTCTATTTTCAAAGACTATATATGTACTTCTATAATCACAGATTTCGCCAAGACTACACTATAGACAAATAATATTGAAGACAAGCGGTATTAATTTATGCTCAATTTGACCACAGACTTTAAACAATAAACAAAAGAGTATATATGCGTGTGTATGTCAAATACATGGTAGAGTGTTTAATGTTTTTTTTTTAATTGATAAACCAATAAATACATAAAAATGTATCATTTATGCATAATTTTAAAAATATATTAACATTCTGTACTCCTTCTCTATATTCTATATAAATATGAGAAATTTCATACCGTCCGCGCAATTTTCGTAAATAAAGGGTACAAAGTTTTTGCTTCACGTATTATTAAAATACTAGAGGTCCCGCTGTAGTCGAAATTCGACTATAATTAATTGGAATTGTAGGTTTGTACACTATTATGATTGTATTTTATACTTCTTTAATCACAAACTTCGCCAAGACTACACTATAAAAAATATTAACAAAGGCAAACAATATTTAATCTATTCTCAACTAGCTTTTACCCGCGACTTCGTCCGCATAAGTTTTTTTGTTTTCTCCCGGCTATAAGTCCCCCTGCAACAATGTCCCACTATCGTGTTCCAGTCCTCAACTTCACATCAAAATTTGTTCAAAAGCAACCTAAGCTACATAATGGATAGCTCCGAATGTTTCCTTAGTAAATATAAAAAGTAAATAATGTAAATCGGTTTAAAATNATTACCTTACTAAATTTCATCAAGATCTGTTCAGCCTTTTATACGTGAAAGAGCAAAAGTCCCAACAAAAACGACTAAAAATCACTAACTCAATTTAGTTATCTGCCTACTGCCTACCCCCTAAGAATGATGGCGTGATTATTTATAGCCTATGACCATTTCTAGGTTATCATCTATCACCATACCAAATTTCATCAAAATCCGTTCAGCCGTTTAGGCGTGAAAGAGGAACAGACAGACAGACAGACAGACAGAGTTACTTTCGCATTTATAATATTAGTATGGATTAGACAACAGACGTCAAGAACAAAAGTTTGACAATAAATAGTGTGCATGCGTGTGTGCGTCAAATACATGGTATGTAGTGTGTGTAATGTTTTCTTTATTGATTCAATGTATATTTTATGCATTATTTTAAAAACATATTAGCATTGTGCACTTCTTCTCTATATCCTCTATAAGTATGGAAAATTTCATACTCCTCCGTCCGCGCAATTTTCGTAAAAAGGGATACAAAGTTTTTGCTTCACGTATTAATATTAAAATATAGATAATGCAAGTGCATTATCAAGAGCATCTCGCTCAAGAAAACGCTCGCACGGTTATTATCGAAAAAATATGTTAGTGAATCTATTAGCAACATTCGAAATTTTATTGTGAGATTTTCAATTACCCACAAACCCTCCGCCGTTATCTGCTTTTGAACAATCTAGCGCGGTGGTTTTCAAACTTGCACAAAATGGACAACAGTAGGTATTGTTTATATTTATTACGAAACCAAAATGGTTTTTTCAGTAAATTTTACTTCCTCATAAAGTTGTTCCCTCTCTCTTAATTGTCTATAGAAATCTTAACAATGAAAGAATGACGGGTGTCCCGTCCTTGAAACCGCAGAGATAGACAGGATGGGGATTTCCACTCGCGTAGATTTCCATTCCACCAGTAAATATGTTTAACTTATATTTCCTCTGAATTTCTGAATATTCCTACGTATAACTACATATATAGATTAGAAGGAGTCTATAAATTATCATAAGTAGCATATTATCTAGTGATAAAACAAAATATGTAATAAATCCTCCTGTCTGAGCCACATTCTTCATATTGTCTGAAGGACGTGACCATCTCCTCTCATTATCCTTGTCTCTATCTGGAAAATGTTTCGCCATCTTCCTCTGTTCTCGGCGGTGTGTATGGCCTCGTAGACTGTATCCAGAGTGGTGTGGATTTCTTCGGACCAGCGCATTAGATTGGATAAATATTGCTTTATATATATCATAAGTCTACACATATTTTTAATTATAATTACCATATCTTTTTTGTACTTAACTCCATGTTTTTTAAATCTGCATAATTTAGTAAGTTTCCTTTTTTTATTGCCCTTGTAAGCAGCGTAGAGCGTACGGACCACCTGATGGTGAGTAACTACATCCGTTCATGGACGTCAACAGACCCAGGAGCACAGCAAAGCCGCTGCCACAATGGGTTATTTCAATTATAATGTACACAGATACGTTATTAATGCCATTCAATTAACTAAAACTTTCCTATTAACAAATTATTACTAATACCTACCATTATTTAAATTAAAAGAGTCAATAATTCGACACAGTTTCGAACTTAGTAGTCATTAACGCCCCATTCAATCAAGGGATATCCCTGTTGGAGCTCCCGTGGGATTGTTTCACAATTTGAGAAGCATCGACCATCTAAATGAATCGTGAGCCCTTCGTAAAATTCTTATTGCGATCTCTTAAGAGGATTTTAAGTTGAGCCTACTAAGCACCAGACAGGATTGATTTCTCTTTTTTCTTGTCTCAATGTCGAATCACCTTATAACCTTCCTTTGATGCAGGTTGTTGTTCTTTTAATCAGTGTATCATCCAGGCATACCAGCTCATAGTTCTCTTGAAGTGAATGCAACTAATACCTATGGTAACGTAGCATTTTATAATTCTAAGCTTCGTACGAAGGTTTAATAGCCAAATATCATTTGATTCAAATTCGTTCTAATATAAAACTGACCCACGCCGAGAACGTTTCGTGAGAAAGCTGCTTTAGCTTGCGTGTGCGCTTTATTAATTAGGCTGCTGTTTTATTAAGTACAAATCGGCGGTTTTCATTTAAACCTCTGAATGAGACGACGTACTATGCATTGGTTTGCATAATGCTATCTATATATTTTTTATCTAATCATTAACTGAACAAAAACTAGTAACACGATAAAGCAAAATGTCCCAGAATGACTATATTCATCCACAAGATGGAGAGTAAGTACGTCAACAGTTTTCATATTAAAAAATATGAATACGAATGGCAAATGTAGGCGGTCACATAGGGCAGTACCGTCTGTCAGAGACAGAGTTCCATCCACCCACCGCAACAGGGAGGGTATTAATCATCAATGTTCCACGTCCAATGCTTGTGCAGTACTGATTTTTGAAAGACAGTGGTCCGTACACCAAGAGGCATCCCTTCAAATACATGCAGAGCTTTTTTTTCTTTTTTTTTTCCTACCTAAGTCGGTAGTCTTGAGAGGATATTTCGGCTTCACCCTAACGTATAGGTGAGCTCACCGGGCTCAAACCGGAGTGTTGGTAACACTGGCCCTAGCAAGGGCAGCACTTTGCAGAATCTACCACCGGATCGGAAACGCGACCCACTGAGAACATCCGGAGAGAAACTCAATGAGCTGTGTTATGGCTTAATTTACTCGTCGAGCTCTTCGTCGCAAGCGACGGGTTCGACGAGAACGATGACCGGTGCTTGAAATACTAAAAGCACCGTTAGTGGATCGGGAGGATCCGAAATGACTTTCCATACTGTCCGCAGGATCGGGAGTAGTTTCTCGCAGTTGCCAGCACACAATATACAACTACGCGTCATATTGTTAGCCCCACGTTTATCATTAAGTCGCGCTCCGCTCCGCTTATCACACAACAAAACACAAACAACAATAACAGTGCTGACAGTAATAAAACTCACACGTCGTGCCCGATCGTTGTATCAATTACATTGTACCGGTTATTACTTAGAATTTTATTGGCTTCCATACATCACATTTTAATTGTTTTTTATTTCATATCGCACTTAGTTATTTTATAACGTTTTAAGGCGATAAAGTTGTGTTAATAACTGCGCTTTTTAAATAAGATCGGTTGGAAACTCTGTGAGTGTTTGTGAACAGTTATTAAGAATATATAACGTAATGTGCACACTGCACTGATAATGTGCTTTGAATTTGTAGAGTTAAATTTAGTACATAACTATTGTAAACTGACGCAACATGATGCACGCATCAGACTATGGAGACCAAACTACCCACTCGTGTTCACTGGTTAATAAAGGTTACATTATTTTCTGTTGAACTAATCTTTCAGTCTTATGGCTAATGGGTAAAGTGGAAGTTGCTTAACCAAGTCTTCCAAGCCCTCTCAGGACCAAAGGTCGTTTCGTCCCATGCACCTGGCCCACTCCGTCAATTTCAATGACAAGATGAAATCTAGATGTTCCTCTAGTGCTATGTGCAAGCGAGATGGTCACGTAAAGCAATATAAGTAGCTATTGCGGGTAGGCCCCGAAAGATGGAAGATGGGCACATACTCTTCTTTCTCATACCAATCAAACGAAGGAGATGGTATGGACATGTGATGAGACGAAATGACAATGAGGTTGGTAAGAAAGTGCAAACTATGAATGTGGAAGGCTATAGAGAGGAAAAGGTAGACCTAAGAAGAAATTAATGGATGGAAGGCCTCCAGCTAACTAGGAGAAGAGCAGGAGAATGATGACCAATCAAAAGAAGCAAAATCAGTAA